AAAGATGAAACAGTTTTCATTTAATATAAGATACAGTTTTAAGTTTAAGTTCTTCTTACATTTACGCTACGAAATCTTAATTATGAAGGGATATCTCGCGGATACTGTCAGAACAGTTGGAATCTATTTATTTATGTTGTAATGTCTCTAATAAATTTAATATCACATAGATCTCCTCCGATTTTCCCCTCCCATTAAACCGATGCTGGAGAAGATCTGCCAAAGTCATTATAACCGGATCAGGATAGGATTTGCTATCAAAAGCTTCCATTTTATAAAAGATTATCGACTTTACCTGCGCCAATCAGTGCATTCGACAAGAATTATCAGGTATTTCACATCGCCGGTATGCCAACCGTGTCGTGTTCATATGTCGAATTCGCATGTGTTTTCCTCGTCAAATCACAACATATGAGCGAAATTTGGGAACGTTTTTTTCACTCCACCTTCACAAGAGTAAGGATTATCCGTATGCAACACTGTTGTAAGACTTACGACGGCATACAATGTAAAAATAATCAAATTTCGCAACGTGTTTGCGTAGCTGGTTTTCATTCTGTCTTCTTTGTTTCTCTTTTGTTTTTAGCAATTAGCCGAATCATTAGCGTCCGGAATTACATCTTGTTTTTTGTCTGTAGGTTGTTCTGAACTTACCTGGTTATGAACTGTTTTTGTTGAATTATCTACTTCTCGGGAAAGGAAGTTAGATACTTTTTTCCAAGGATTTCATACCATTTTTTTCATACTTGCCTACAAATCCATTTAGAAATAGAAAAATTCCATTTTTCCAAAGGTTACAATGATGTAAGCACAATGATTTCCTAAAGTGACCTTGACTTTTTATTTAAGATGGCCGATTAAGTAAATTGGACGTCACTATGTTTAAAATGAATGTACGCGAGTGATTTAACTTTACTTCGGAATTATTATCATGATCGGCAATGTGTTGTTTTGACTATTAAGACAATATTTTGGTCAAATGTATCAGAAATGTATTATGACAACTTAAGGCCCTAAATGCCTCAAAATAGTTGAATTCTTATTTCTCAAAAACTTTTTATATTGGGTGTTCTGTTATAGTTTCCAAGAATTTACTCATTGGCCAATTACCAGAACCATATTTTTCTTCTGTTGCCTTCTGAAAATTAGTACAATTATGGAAATTTAGTAAATTGTACGGAAGTCAAAATACTACTTTATATACATTTTGATACTTTAAGACAAATGAATTCACTTTCAGCGCTACTTCCATCAGGTAATAAGCATCTAATATTTTCTAAACTCATAATTAAAAATTATAAAACTCAATTTGCATAATGTGTCTTTAATAAATGGTTAGTTTTTTTTTGTTTTATAGCTGACCAGTCAGGCCAGCAGGTTTTTTACTCGTCTCTAAAGTGTCCGCAGCAGTTCATCTCTAAAATATTAACCTAAATTGGCATAATAAAAATTTGACGCATACCATTTATGGGCCTTAAAGTGGGTTTAACTTCATTTTTATGAATAAATATAAGTAAATTACCCCCAAATCTTAAAATTAGTAGAGCGAACGCGGACAGAAAATGTCATAAAACCGTCACATGGCAGTTCTAAACTAGAAAAATAAAAACAGTTATAAAGCATAGCGTTTGAGAATATTTTTACTGTAAAAAGGTTTATTTAATGATTCTTATTTATTTAAAATACTCGTAGTATTAGGACATTAGGTCATGTTTTCTTACTTTGTTTATTTATACATATTTTTTCTTTTGATATAAAGTTTATAGAGTTTATAACCTTGAATGGAAAGTTGCAAATACAACTTTTGCGTACTGTCCACGAGCCTATGATTGGAATAATTACAATAGATCTAGCAACGTAAAATTCTCAAATTATTTTCTTTTAAATAAATTTTGACCAACTCATTCTGTAACTCATCAAAGTAAGATATAGGTCAGTGCAATTGCAACTTTTCGGCCTTTTTATCAGTCTTCTATAGCCGAGATGTTCCGAGGTTAATAATGTTGTAATTCTCATGATCCGTTATTTGTATAAAATCACCGTCTTTATCACCAATAACAACAACAATAGTATTTTTAACACGTGGTTTTACATCCAATTTATCATATATTTACACGGCGCTACATTTAAATGACATCTAATAAAACTTTATAAACATTGCGACCGAGCATGCCCTTTGTTCGGTTGTTGTTGTTGTCACCTATGCAAATTATGCGTTAGTGTCCATCTTTATTTATTGACACAGCGGAGTCAGGCGATAATGGGCCATCGTTATCGCCTTATTTAGACGTAAATCGTGAAACTTTTGGCGCCAAAAATAGTCTGGCGTATTATTTTTATCGTCCACTTTTAGAAGTCCACGCAGTCACTGAGAACTACGAGATGTACAGTCAAACGCTACTAAATCTAATTTGCTGATTTTTTTACTGTCTGTAGATCTACATGATCTGAATAATTTATTTCAAAGACAGCACGAAGTTTACTCCTTTGTTATGTGTCTAGCATTAAGAGTATAGTTTCAAAAGTAACCAAACATGTACTCAACTCACACACGTTCTACCAGACAGTTACAAAGGTAGTCCATGGAATACGACTTTCAATAGATACAATAATGTGAGTCTGCATTTAGAAGGAATGAACATAGAAAGATGTGGAGATAAAGTACATGTACTAAATTCCTTGAATTCTACAAACAATCGCAGTTTTTTACACCTCATTTAAACAATATTTTCAGTTTCCCAATGCTTAATGCAGCTATCCCGACCAACTTACTGCCGCAATAGTGTCTTTTTTGTTTGCTAATAGTCTGCACATCAAACGGTTCCAAAATTTCTTAGACCGCGTAATCTAACCTCGTATTTCACGGGGTTTTGCATATTTCACTCATAATTTGTAATTACTCGTCGGTATAATATGATTAATTTTTCTTCTAAGTGCCTCGTACGGTAAAAGCCGAACTTGGATATCTCTTTCCCGGCACACTATGATTGCACTCTGCTTGTTTTATGTTTTCTCCAGTGTCTGCAGAATTAATTACACAACAGAATCCCTAATCTCCTAGCGCCAGCATTCTGCAATAATATCATAGAATATGAGCTTTTCAAGCTCAGTTCTTAATGGAACTGGTTTCATTTTTCAAGTGTCATACTTTTAACGTTTTTTTTAACCAAACCACAAATGTTCTCTTTTTGTCCCAGCTTCTGTTTGTTAAAAAAATATATTTATTGAGCGATGCAAAAAGTGTTGATTGACAAACAAAGATGATGAAATAGTGCATTTGTATTCTGGAAAATCGTCAATTACGATAGATGTATGTATTTGCATCAAAACACCCCCAATGAAATGATTTCAAATATTTGTATTAAAAAACGATTAAATGTAATGCATTAACAAGTCTGTAACGCTGGTCTTTCTGACAGGAATTGATTATGCATCAAAGACTGAATGAGTCTTCACATAGCAGATAGATAGAGAGATAAATAAACAGAAAAGTGAATATAAATCATTTTCACAGTCCCTGAATAGAAAAATAGATATGTAAAATTAGTATCGTCTCCGATATTTTGAATTCGTTTTAAATACGTGAGAAGATTTGCGATAAATAGTCCATGTAGAGTAAATTGCACAGGCTTTTGTTCTATTATCCAAAGATGTCAGATTGTTTGGAGCAAAGTTTGTTAAATATTTTAGAATTATCTTCATGAACATCATTGTTTAAACAAATACGTTAGAGAATTGTTTTTTATAACAGACAATCCCCGCTGCAGAGACCATTCATTTTAGTTAACAAATGGACTGTACAAATATGTTTGAATTATGATTGGTTAAGGGGAAACCCAATGATGGTCTGGAACAAAAACGTTTCTATGGGTTATGATTGAAATAGAAGAAAACAGAACCCCTAAAGAAAGTTCATCACGACAAAATTGACAATGTTGCAGGCTCGGTTTGATTGAACCTGTTCATGGACGGTACTGGCAAGTACAAATTACCGTCCACGCTCCCTAGCACCGGCTTAACTAGAATTCAACATTTAAACACGAAATTTGTGAAACACTACATTCAGGGTGGTCTTTTTGACAAGGTTTGTCTGTATTTTGCAAGAGAATGTCATTAATATTTAAATTCTAATCTAGGAATCTTCCTCTCTTACTTTTTGTATTCATTCATACCAAAAACACGTGAGAAATCAATTCACGACTGAATTTCACTTTAACGTGTAATTTGCAGTGAAACCTGGATGTAAGAAGTCTACGTTTTCGAGATAAAATATTTGAAATGGAAAATTGTCTAACTTTTAATTGATGAGTCAAATATACACGTTTATCAAGTGTCTACACTTGTATGTACTTGCGTTTCGTCTGGCTTTTTCAACAATGTTGTAAAAAAATACTTCTCGAATGATAACAATTAATTCATTCTTAAAGTTGAGAAATCATGAAACGCAATAAAAATGAATATTTCTGTCTTAATAAATAATAATTTCATGTACTTTGAAAAAGAAATAAGAGTTTTTTTATTTCGTACGATATAAACTTAGAAACCGTAAATAAAAGATACTCGGCATAACAACTTAATAATCCGTAAAATTGAAGTTATGGTCTACCCCCATCCTTCGAATAGTGCATCATTTTTAAGTGCACGAACTTAATTCTGTATTATTTCTCATATTCTAAGAGATGTGTAAATTCTTTCCTGTGTTTATATTTATATCTCTTTTTTTCATCTTTTCACTTATTTCAGCATATTCGTGTCTTTTATTATATCTTATACTGTTGAATATTGTATTAAAATTAAATCATGGCACTTGTTCGTGTAAAGGACACTGTTGGTGAACGCCCAATCCACCAAATTTTTACATGTTGTTTCTTTAACACATTTTCGGCTTAAAGCAGTTTCGACATAAGAATGCTACGAACTATTCCGACCAGAGTATGTCATTCCAGCTAGTTTAAATGTGGACCATGCAGCTATATAATTTTTAACTCTTTTTTTTCCAGACGTTTGGATCGTAACAAATTAAGAAAAGTACCAGATCTCCTGTTTGCAAATATGCCAGAACTGCAACGATTGTAAGTAGACTATTTATAGTATACTTAAATAGAAACCACGAGAATTTCGTTGTAAAATAAACTATACTCAGAATTTCGTTCTAAGATATACTATATTCACATACTAGTATTAGAAATTCACTTTTTCATGATATTCACCATACGCTCGTAGAAACGATTCGAACAACTTTGAGTTCAGAATGCCTAACATGGGGTTAAACAAACAAACAAACAACATCAGATCTACGTTCGTATGTTTGAGACCATATGAGCCATGTCACGACAACACCAAGGTAATGCGTTTGCGACCAGCATGGATCCAGACCAGCCTGCGCATCCGCGCAGTTTGATCAGGATCCATGCTGTTCGCTATCAGTTTCTCGACTTGTAAAAGGGTTGGTAAGCGAACAGCATGGATCCTGATCAGCCTGCGCGGATGCGCAGGCTGGATTGGATCCATGCTGGTCGCAAACCCATTATGTTGGTTTTGTCGTGACACGGCTCATATTAAGTACATCACGTTATTTGGTTAAAGAACCTGGTGTTACATTTCAGGTTTACATATTAAGGTATAAGGGCACGTAGGTTAATGAGGAATTAATTTAGTAATTAAGATATAGATGGTAGACGTTTGTGGGAAGTTTTCTTCACATTACATTGTAAGAAAAATGTGTATGTTTCGTACATGTGACGAAAATATTGGGAGGATTTAAAAGATTTTCCACTGACACTCCAAATTGACATTTCTTCCATTGACACCCCGTTCCAGTCCACATTTTATAACATGCATTAGCATTGTTTCAGAACACGATAATTTTATTTTTTTGTAAACATTTTTATACTGTTTAAATCGTTTATATATTAACGTGATTTTATTTTACTATATCAATTCTTACTCGCATTCGTAGAAGAAAATATCTGGGGTCACTTGTTTAAAATAAATATTTTATTAACATTATTCAAAGCTCTTTAAACAGGTAAATGAACCCTCATATTTCCAACCCCTTCATACAAGAAAGCCATTCAATATTATTAAGATCTTGAACAAATGTTTTAACGTGTCATAAAGATAAGTTGTTACTTTAAACACTACGTATATTTATAAAGAAAATACCAATGTGCGGTTTTTAAAGGCCCATAATGACCGATTGCTTTCTTTTGCAGTTATTTAAACAGTGATTGCAGTTGGCAATAATAGATAATTTAAAAATGTTGATATTTAAATGACTTAATACATCAAAAACAATTTCACACCATAAAGGAACATTAAAAGGTGTTTCTAAAAAGTTCACTTTATGCTATTTAAAGTCTTCTCCCAGATAAAAAAAACCCACAAAAACCCACAATTATTCAATCTGGTTTAAGTAGGTCGTATCAGGTCTTTAAACATTTCAGTATTAAAGACACCACGCTGTGTATTTATAGCAAATATTTGTTCAAATCTAAGTTGAGAGATGCTTTGGCGTAATTTTTATTATCATAAAAACCCATAAAAGCGACCATTAGGTCACAAATAAAACCATTTCCAGAGCTTCTTTATATTTTAGTAAGCGAAGAATTTTATATCAAATTATCGCTCATTTACAATGTACATCAATGTCTTCATGTACAACTTTTTCTCTATTTTTTATTTATTTATTTATTTATTTATTTATTTATATATTTATTCATTTATTTATTTATATATATTTATTTATTTATTTATTATTCTTTTTCTTCCTTTCTTCTCATCATCATCATCATCATCATCATCATCATCATCATCATCATCATCATCATCATCATCATTATTCATGTTCAAACTAAAATGTATTGCTTGAATCTTTTTCGATTTTTTACCATCATTTTGTACAAAGTGGACTAAATACGAAACTTGGAAAAAAATCAGGGTCGATAGTTTTATTATACATGTACTGACAGATTTCCGTGACCATGGAACACCATTTCATCATCTGAATCTGCACTTAAATATCATGGACTAGTTCCTCATTTGTTCAGAAGTTCTTTTAAGATAAAATATCACCACAGGTTTCAACAGAAGTAGAACTCAGGCATCTTATTTTGATTTGATTACGTCATTTTTTGACATTTGTAGTACTTCGGCTTTCTCCATTAGGTTCTTTAAAAGCACCATGAAAACCTGTCGCATTATTTGAATAGAGTGGGAGTCTGAATGAGTTCTTAAACATGTCTTATTGATAAAAAAGAACTTTTCAGATAAAAAAGTAAATATGTTTAATGCAATATTGACAGAAAATGCATTAGTAACTGTTAAATCTGAAAATATTAAAATGGTTTAAAACGGGACCAATGACAAGTTGTACCGGCGCACCGTTCTTTAGTCTGCAAGAACGTACCAAGGAAAGCGTCGGCGTGTTTCCGTTCTTTATTTGGAACTCAATATTAGCTCAAATTTGTATTTAGATACGATCGAGTTAAAACGAGAATTTTTTTATTGATGACTTAAATTTTCTTTGAATATAAGACACTGTGTGAACGAATCGATTTTCATTCAGCATGCGATGGTTGAATACTTGTTTTGATTATTAAAATAAAAAGATGCATTGGTTTTCATTTTAAAGCGCTTAAATCCTGTCTAATCTTTAATGATTATACGTGTTATAAAACATCTCTAATTTATCTATATTTTACATTCCCTACAAATACTATTTTGCTGTGTCTTAGTCTTGTGATAATTCTGATCACCGCATTTATCTCCGTAATACACATTTAATTAAGAAAATTAATTGGTAATAATTATCTCATTAATGATTATGATTTGATTCTTACCACGGATACCAAACTAATCAAGTCATTTTCTTTATGTTAAAGCATATCATCTTCCATTCATTCATCAGATACACAAATTTCAATAGAGAGGCCATCAAATTCAAATGGGAACTTGATTTTTTTTTATTCATGCAGCGGAATATGTTCTAACAGATGCGCCATAGACCACCTTGCGTTTAATAGCTCGATGAAATTCCTGTGGCTACGCCTCTTTTCATCTCTCATTACCACTTCGATCTTCATTATCAGAGACCATGTCAAATAATTAGTCGAACATGTTTCTCCGGACATTTGCATACGGTGTGCATGGGTTTTAGTGCACTTCTTGGCACTGAGTACCCATAATTCCCAGCAATAAAAGTCAGACTGGTTTTCATCAAAGTTTGTGGTTCGTCTTATCAGACAAAGGTGCGAGCGACTCTGTATCCATTTTGTTGCACCGCATTAGGGTCTGGATTCCGCATTTTCTTTTATATACAAATATGTAGATAAATTGTTTGCAACTTGAAATATAATATACAGTTTTAATTGTGATGAAAATATACTCATTTCAAATATATGTTGTACGGTACAAAAATAATCGTGATTAATTGTTGGACTACCAAAATTGTTGTTATTTTGTATGATTTATTGTGTTATATGTCCTGCACATAAGAGTTGTCTTAAAGAATACGTATTAAAGTTAAATATATATAATAAACTTCAAGTCATATGCATCGGGGACTATTCGTATAGGTTAAACTTTTATTAAAACGAATCCAAAAATAGTCAAAAAAATGTATACAAGTTTTGGTCGACACTAAACTTTTAAACCATTTTCTGGTTTCACAGTCTATTTAGTAACGCTAAAATTGTGTCTGTTTATTTCATTTTCCGAGTTGCATTTTATTCCGATAAATCTTCATCGACAAAATCTTTACCATGAGCCATGTCATAAAAATCAAATTACATGCTTAAATGACTGCACTTAAATAGTGGGAGCGAATACCATGTATTATAAGTAATGCAGTAGTCGATTTTCTAACACTACAATAGTCACAATCTATTTTATTTGCTCGTTATGTCCAATCTCCTCATTTATACCCATTCTGTAAGTAAAAAGTAAAGTCTTTTTCAAACGAAACAAACAAAAACCCCGTTAACTTCAGTGGATTTGCGTGGCTTTTTACTGCTACTGAATTTTTATAATTATATATAAAAGTAAAAGAGAAAAAATCCAAAATGAAGCTGTTTTGCGATATAAATTTAACATTTTTATATCATTCAGGTGTACCATTGCCTTGAGGCGGAAGCAAGCTCTTCATTATGCAATAAATACCAAAAAAATAAAAAAATCCCACCTGAAAATCAAGCGTTTTTTACAATGTAATTGCATGACAATTAGATAAGAATATAAGACCTAAATGAAAACAAATTAAAGAACAATTATATTTAACTACAGACATGCAGAATAAGACGTGAGTGCAAGTTTGTAGCGTACGCGAAGTTGGCACGCAGTCATACATATGTAATTCATGTTTTGCCAGTTTGATATACAACAATTCAGCAACACGATTTGTTATATTTCCCCACAGCGGCGCTAGTGATTACATATACATTCACTCAAATATTTTGAAGTCACGAAAAATGCACTTTTTTATAAAATCTATTTCGTACAGACTGGATATGATTGTCATTTTTACTTCTGCTTATTATATTTTACGACGACTAAAATTGTCAATCACAAACTCAGCGTGTGTTTCCGTTATGAAGTTTATTATAGTCTCTCCTATATTTAGCTTAAATTATATCTTGCCTATATTTTTGGCCTGATTTAAACTCACACCGACACTTTTAAGGTCATATGGCGACTTTCCAGCTGTACTGGTGGCTGAAAACATCATAATGTCCAGCTATACATTAATTCTTACTCGGACTGTGTTATATGAATAGTACTGTTTCAAATATTTTTAAGAAAAGACTGCATTTTGGCAAAGTGATTTAACATGAGGCACCCATCATGTATGCTATATACTGTACATGGTGTCATTTAGCTGTCGAAGAACATTTCTGTTCCTTAAATAAAAACTTACCAAATTATATCAATATAAAACTCCTATATATGTAAAACAAAATATTTGTATTTGTTAATCCTAGTATATCTTATTTTGCTATTTGACATTAAACATTAAAATTTCTGAAAAACTGACAACAATGAAAATATTGCAATGAAAAAATTAAATACTATGTTC